GCTGACCCATGGAACGCCCTCCCCGCCGCGATTCGCACCATATCCCTACCTGCTGCATTTCGCTCCGCTATCTTCACGTGGCTAGGGCACCCTGTAAGAAGACCATAGGTCTGTGGGGACTGCCCTAGTAAAATATGAATAAATAATAATAATAATAATAATTCGTCTTTCGCCACCGGGAAACTGTTCGCCAGAACTCGGTTGGAGCGGTAATGAGTGAGATTTTGGGAAGTGCTGATCTCGAACTTGAGTGGCGAAGGGCGAAATTATGTCGATACGTCAATCGCTATCGGGGCAATGTTCGCCAGATCTCGGAACGAGCGGTGATGAGTGAGATTTCGGCGATCTAGCGCTGCTGGGCATCGGGAAGTGCACATCTCGAACTTGATCGTTTTAGGGGCAGCCAAGGTCGTAACACGGATTTCGTGCGCGAGGCATGGAGGGGATGGAAAAAAGTTGGTCAGAAGGCCCGCACATGAATTTCGTGTGACTCCCGTGATGGCGCTGTTTTGGTTTGCTTTCTCTCGTTGTGATTTTGAATATTCCGCTGTTGTCGTGCACTCGGTTAGGGGCAGAAGTTGTTTCCTGGATGAAACTGATGACCGACCTCCACACGAGCAACACGACGGGCAAGTAAGTTCAGCGAATGCCAGCTACTTGGACGTTGAGAACTCATGCACATCACGAGGGTTCCAAGTCCGCTAATCGCAAATCCCTATGGTGAAGTCACACTGTTTTTCGCTCAGGATCTGCCTAAAGGAAAAAAGCCAGTGACACAAGCTTCTTGTAAACTCACCCGTCTTGTTCGTGCTCCGATGGGGCCACAGTTCGTGCTGGTGCAGTCGTGCATCTTTCCTAAAAAAAAAAACATAAGTTTAGATCCTGACGAGTGTCGCCAAAAGTTTCGTCGAAATTTTCTAAGTCCGAGAATTTTCTAACTCCCTATGGTGTGAATACGGAAAGGCCGCCAGAAAACGCCTCTGAGCATGGCTGGAGGCAATTTGCGAAGGTAACGGGTAGAGTGAAAAATTAGACGACCTCTGCTATGCTTTAGCTCTGGTAAGTCCAGTCGTAGAAGATCCAAAATGTGCAAAGCAATTTTCGAAGGGTCGATAGATGATTGGGTGTGCGGGTGCAGTGCTACCTATGAGAGGATGGGTGGTTGAGTTGCCAGTCAGGAGCAGGGTGACCTCGAACAGTGCACAAGCTGGTCCGAAGGTTTGTACACGAATTTCGCGTGCTCCCCTCAATGACTGAGTTGTTGGTGACGATTTCGTCGGGATGAAATCACATTCGACGGGTTGAACGACTTGGCGGCTGAATGGCTGGTGATGATGGTAACCGATACGGTGGCATAGGGTCGGCAAAGGCGATATCCGTGCCTGTGTGTGAGAAACAGTATCGATTGTCGGGTCCGATGGTTCGCACACGAATTTCGCGTGCTCTCCTGAATGACCGAGTTTGTGATGATGATTTCCTTGTGATGAAATCACATTGGACGGGTTCAACGCCTTGGCGGCTGAATGACTAGTGATGGACCTAATCGATGCTGTGAAGTAGGGTGGCCAAAGGCGATATCTGTGTGTATCGATTGTCGGGTCTGATTGTTCCCACACGAATTTCGCGTACTTTCCTGAATTACTTAGTGTTGGACGTGTTCAGCGCCTTGACGGCTGAATGGCTGGTGATGATGGTAACCGATACGGTGGCATAGGGTCGGCAAAGGCGATATCCGTGCCTGTATGTGAGAAACAGTATCGATTGTTGGGTCCGATGGTTCGCGCACGAATTTCGCGTGATCTCCTGAATGACTGAGTTTGTGGTGATGATTTCCTTGTGATAAAATCACATTAGACGGGTTCAACGCCTAGGCGGTTGAATGACTGGTGATAGACCTAATCGATGCTGTGAAGTAGGGTGGGCAAAGGCGATATCCGTGTGTGTGTGAGGGAGAAAAAGTATCGATTGTCGGGTCTGATTGTTCCCACACGAATTTCGCGTACTTTCCTAAATTACTTAGTTTTGGACGTGTTCAGCGCCTTGACGGTTGGATGGCTATCGGGGCACTAGTCGCCACATTTCGGAAGGAGCGGTGATGAGTGAGATCTCGGCGATCTTGCGCTACTGGGCATTAGGAAGTGGTGATCTCGAACTTGATGGTTTTAGGCGCGGCGCAGCAATGGTTGTAACATGGATTTTGCGTGCGAGGCATGGACAGGATGAAGGGAACCGTTGGTCAGAAGGCCCGCACATGCATTTCGTGTGACTCCCGTGATGTGTCGTGTTTTGGTTTGGCTTTCCCTCGTTGTGATTTTGAATATACATGTACCGCTGTTGTCGTGCACTGCGTTAGCGGCAGAAGTGCTCATCGGTTGGGAATTTGAAATTTGGCATTGACGTAGAGTCGAGGGGGGCGAAACTACATGTATGTCGATTCGTCTTTCGCTACGGGGACACTGTTCGCCAGAACTCGGATGGAGCAGTGATGAGTGATATCTCGGCGGATCTTGCGCTGCTGGGCATTGGGAAGTGCTGATCTCGAACTTGATCGTTTTAGGGGCAGCAAAGGTTTTAACATGGATTTCGTGTGCGTGGCATGGACAGGATGAAGAGAAACGTTGGTCAGAAGGCCCGCACATGAATTTCTCTTGACTCCCGTGAGGGTTCAGTTTTGGTTGGCTTTCTGCCGTTGTGATTTTTGATATAATCGCTGTCGTCGTGCACAGCGTTAGCGGCAGAATTAAGGGCTCATCGGTTGGGAATTTGAAATTTGGCATTGACGTAGAGTCGAGGGGGCGAAACTATATCGATTCGTCATTCGCTATCGGGGCACTGCTCGCCAGATTTCGGTAGGAGCGGTGATCTTGCGCTGCTGGTTATTGGGAAGTGCTGATCTCGAACTTGATGGTTTTAGGCGCAGCAATGGTTATAGCCTGGATTCTGCGTGCGAGGCATGGACAGGATGAAGGGAACCGTTTGTCAGAAGGCCCGCACATGAATTTCGTGTGACTGCCGTGATGCGTCTGTTTTGGTTGGCTTTCCCTCGTTGTGATTTTGAATATACCGCATGTCGTGCACTGCGTTAGCGGCAGAAGTGCTCATCGGTTGGGAATTTGAATTTTGGCATTGACGTAGAGTCGAGGGGGCGAAACTATGTCGACTCGTCAATCGCTATCGGCGCACTGTTCACCAGATCTGAACCGATTCGGTGACGTTGGGTGGGCAAAGGCAATATCCGTGGGTGTGAGGGAGAAACAGTATGCATTGTCGGGTTCGATGGTTTGCACACGAATTTCGCGTGCTCTCCTGAATATCTGAGATGTTGGTGATGATTTCCTTGTGATGAAATCACATTCGACGGGTTCAACGCGTTGGCGGCTGAATAACTGGTGATGATCCTAACCGATGCGGTGAAGTAGGGTGAGCAAAGGCGATATCCGTGTGTGTGCGGGACAAACAATATCGATTGTCGGGTCCGATTGTTCGCAAACGAATTTCGCGCACTCACCTGATTTATTGAGTGTTTGTTTGCACGGGTTTAACGCCTTGTTTAACGCTTTGGCGGCAGAATGACTATGGGGGCTATGAGAGCACTGTTCGCCACATCTCGGAGGGAAGGGGTGATGTGTGAGATCTGGGCGCTCTTGCGCTGCTGGGCATTGGGAAGTACTGATCTCGAACTCCATCGTTTTACGGGCAGCGAAGGTCACAGATTTTGTGTGCAGGGCATAGAGAGGATGAAGAGAAAAGTTGAACTTCGTGTGACTCCCCTTTGATGGTTCTGTTTTGGTTGGCTTTCTCTCGTTGGGATTTTTAACACACTGCTGTTGTCGTCCATCGCGTTAGCGGCAGAAGGGCTCATCGTTTGGGAAATTTCAAATCCGGCATTGACGTAGAGTCGAGGAGGGCTAAGCAATGTCGATTAGTCATTCACTATCAGGGCACTGTTCCCCAGATCTCGGAAGGAGCAGTGATGAGTGAGATCTCGGCGATCTTGCGCTGCTGGGCATTGGGAAGTGCTGATCTCGAACTACTTGATCGTTTTACGGTCAGCGAAGGTTGTGACACGGATTTCGTGTGCGAGGTATGGACGGAATTCTCTCGTTGGGATTTTGGATAAAGCGCTGTTTTCGTGCACTGCGTTAGCGGCAGAAGGGCTCATCGGTTGGGAAATTTGGTATCTCGAACTAATGTTACTTGATCGTTTTAGGGGCGCCGAACCTCTTAACACGGATAGGATGTTGACAGAAGGTGAGTTTTCTTACTTCTACCATCTTGTCAAAATCAAAAGTACATGTTCATCGTTGTTTCCTTGATGAAACTGATGACCGACCTCCCCACGAGCAACACGACACGCAAGTAGTTCCAGCTACTTGCACGCTGAGTACTCATGTACGCCAACGAGCCTTCCAAGTCCGCAAATCGCGAATCCCTAGGCTATGGTGAAGTCACGCTGTCTTTCGCTCAGGATCTGCATACCGTATCCTGTGAAAGGCCTACTACATAATGAGGGCAGGAGGGGCGACGAAAGCGTGATGCCTGTGTGAAACGAGGTACTAGGTGTGCTCCGCCGCCGACCGACTTCTGAGCGAGCAACACGACAGCCGCACGTAGAGTCTACGGGGTAGACCATGGTAGACGGAAGGCATGCGAACTCAACTAATACTTGACATTTAAAAAAGATATTATTCGGTGAAGATGTTCCGCGCAATCTGAGAATTTGCGCTATCTCCGGAGTGCGCTCCGGTGGTGCAAAATTCCAGTGTGTGGTTCGTGCAATCTGTGAATTTCTCTCAAAACCTGAAGAGCACAGCGAATTCATGTGGTTCGTGTTGTCCGTGGAGAGATTGCTGTTGTTGCCGGCAGGGAGCCGCGGGTGAAAACCCTGACTCTCTTGTTGCCACGTTACGGAAAATGGCAGCCACTTTCGCGCGTATGTATGTTTTTTTACAAACAAACATAAAAATAGAAACAATACCAGTATTAGGATTTACTACTTTACATTGTACTCAATAATAATAATTATTATTATTGTTACAGTGTGATAAGATCGGCGTACCACTAGCTGCAGGTCGATGTTGCGAGCTCGATGGTCGCTTCCTAGATCCGCTATCGCGCGCGGAGTAAACCTGCAATGTCCTCATTTGCAGAGCAACAGAGACATAGTATCATTCTAGAACTGTCTGGCGAGCGGTGGTAACATCGAGTCAAAGTCGCAGGAAGAGCTAACAAGAGGGCCAATTGGAAATATATTGTTTTCACATAACGCTGGAAGCTCGGTGGTGCACGCCGGCGGTCCATTCGTGTTGGTGGCACATTCTCAGCGCTAATTTCGTTCAGCAACATCCAGACGAACGCTACGAATACATGGGCTGAGAGTTAGAGGTGCAGCAGGACGAACTATTTGACTGCTTAGCGGAATGCCGGAAAGAAGTAAGTGTGCAGTGTCACGCCGAACGTCATGTGAATTGAATGTTTAGTCATGCAGCCGGTCAGCAACTGCCAATGCAAAGCTTTGTTTCCGGGTTGCTATGCAATATTTGAGTGTAAGATTCTGTGCATTGACTGACGTTCACGATTACCATAAAATCCCGCCAGAGCACCCCAAGGCCCAACCTCTGCGACCCTTCTAGTACTGTCGACTCGTGGACATGGAAATTCAGTTGATTGACGCGGGGCCGGCACCCTCAGCGCGTACAGAACGCTGCGTGCAGTGCACAAGTTGATCCGATGCGACCAGCGCGCTGCAGCGCATAACTGCATGTGTGTACCGCTTATCCACGGCTGCATAGCCAGCGCCCTAGGGCCACTAGACGTGCGGCGACCGGATTTCATGTCCACGCAGTAGGTTCAGGTGCGCGTGTGTGTGTGTGGGGGGGGGGGGGGCAGGTGGGCGAATTTTTCTTGCTGCACTCAGTACGTTGTGAACTAGTACTCACCCTACGAGAACTGTGCGTGCGTCTCGTACACCGACCAAAGGTTAAGAGCGGAAAGTCGTACAAACCCGTCGAAACCCAGGGTTTGTGCGATTCCTGGTCAAGAGGGTGGGAACTGTTGCGTGCATTTCCAACCGGGTCGAGCACGCGTATGCAGTGCGGTACGGCATGACACTTCACCGAGTCTTACGATTATGCAATCAATCATCACTTCCCTGACAAGAAGTCGGGGAGGGGCGCATGGAAGAGATGGGGCGCTCTGGCAGCGGGATTTTATGCTACTTGTGAAGTTTTACTTGTAAGCGGAGGCAATGACGTCATCGGGTACACTATGTAAGTGGAGGCAATGACGTCATCGGGAACACTATGGCAAGGTACTGCTCCACAACTAAGCCCGTGTTCCATACTGGCGACATAGGCCTCAGGTCTGAGCTGTCATTCGTACATGTACAGCACTGCTCAATAAATGCAGATGAAGTGAGTGAATGGCACACTGGGCGCTGTGCAGCCCTAGACCTGCAAACACTGGCATGTGAACTAGTGCAGGGTGCAAAAACTTGTTTTACGTGGTCGTAGTTCACCGAGCATCACTGCACTATTAAAATGCACAAGCTTCCATGATATTATTGTTGGCCTGCTCCACGCGAAATTGCGATACATACGTTTCGACCTGCCTCGCCATGGAAATGAATCAGAAATGATTCATCAGAGCAGCGGTGATCAGAGTAGCGCGGTACATTTAGCGGTGATCAGAGTAGCGCTGTGCATTTAGCGGTAATCAGAGTAGCGCTGTGCATTTAGCGGTGATCAGAGTAGCGCTGTGCATTTAGCGGTGATCAGAGTAGCGCGGTGCATTTAGCGGTGATCAGAGTAGCGCGGTGCATTTAGCGGTGATCAGAGTAGCGCAGTGCATTTAGCGGTGATCAGAGTAGCGCTGTGCATTTAGCGGTGATCAGAGTAGTGCGGTGCATTTAGCGGTGATCAGAGTAGCGCTGTGCATTTAGCGGTGATCAGAGTAGCGCGGTGCATTTAGCGGTGATCAGAGTAGCGCAGTGCATTTAGCGGTGATCAGAGTAGCGCTGTGCATTTAGCGGTGATCAAAGTAGTGCGGTGCATTTAGCGGTGATCAGAGTAGTGCGGTGCATTTAGCGGTGATCAGAGTAGCACTGTGCATTTAGCGGTGATCAGAGTAGCGCAGTGCATTTAGCGGTAATCAGAGTAGCGCAGTGCATTTAGCGGTGATCAGAGTAGTGCTGTGCATTTAGCGGTGATCAGAGTAGCGCGGTGCATTTAGCGGTGATCAGTTGTTGTGTTGTTGTTGTTTGGCTTTATTTAAAGTGGAGTTCCAAAACAGGCCTAAACCTAATGACAACGGTCCCACTGATAATAAGAGAAAAGAAAAATAGATAATAATAAGCGGACAAACAGAACCAAGAAGAGGATACAGCTGTAGTTAGATAACCAATATGAGCACGGCAGCAGGGGAAAAAAAGTCACAAGCACGGCAACCGGGAAGAAAGGAGTGAGTGAGTGAGAGAGAGAGAGAGAGAGAGAGAGAGAGAGAGAGAGAGAGAGAGAGAGAGAGAGAGAGAGAGAGAGAGAGAGAGAGAGAGAGAGAGAGAGAGAGAGAGAGAGAGAGAGAGAGAGAGAGAGAGAGAGAGAGAGAGAGAGAGAGAGAGAGAGAGGGAGAGAGAGAGAGGTAGTGAAGCAGATGAGTTCATCCTAGTTGACGGTACTGCCTAACAGAAAGGCCAGGCTTAGGGGTCGTCGCAAAAGTTTTTTGTCGTCCCTGAAACGAACATGATTCGTTTGGGGGGGAGGGGGTGCGAGCCAAAATCGCAAGTCGACCGACACTGTGCATATGACATGTACATGCATGCGATTTTCGTCGTCCAGCATAGCAAGCTGTGTTCGTTTCAGAGGGAGGGGAGGGGGTCCAAGTACGAAATGAACGATGTTCGTTTCAGGGACGACAGAAAACTTTTGCGACGACCCCTTAGCGATTTGAAAGTGGAGCGCTTTCTTTCGAGGCGTGCTGTGTCTGGGAGCTGGTTCCACAGGATAGCTCCAGCATGGCTAATGCGCTTAGCTGAGGATGCAGTGGGGGAGACAGGAATGATGAGTAACTTGCTGCTCCCTCTTCGTGTTCGGAGAGAGGGACTACGGGTGAAAAAGCTTGCAAACAGAGTACTTGAAGATTTGTTCAGGCAGCGCCAAATGAATACAAGAATGTGCATGTGGGTGTATATGCTGAGGGTATGGGCATTCATGCGTTCAAGTAAGGGAGCCGTGTGAGTGCGAGGGGCTGCCCTGCACACCGAGCGAGCCGCACGTTTGAACAAACTATTTAGGCGCTTATCCTGATAAGACGATAAGAAAGGGGCATAGGCAGCAGATGCATAGTCAAATTCTGATAGTATAAAGGACCTGAAAAACTGAACACGGCAAGAAAAAGGCAGACATGCTGCACTTCGATTTAGTAGCCCAATCTTAGCGGCAACGCGGCGTGCAACATGGCTTGTCATGGTGTTCCAGCTCATGTCTGAGTCGAAATGTAGGCCAAGATACTTGGCCGTTTTCACAACAGGCAGCGTCTGCCCATTACAAATGACATGCAGCTCAAGTGCTTGAGATGGGGATGGGGGAATAGGCAATATCTGTGTCTTTCTTTCATTAAGAATTAAACCACGGCCCTTCAGCCAGGTGGCCAGGTGCTGAACAGCAGCTGAAAGGTGTGCAGAAACAGCTTCCGCAGACTCCCTGCTACATCGTATAGAGATGTCATCAGCAAACTGGATTGCTCCCACATTAAACGGCGATAGTTCTTCTGCTATGCCGCGGGCATAGACAATAAGTAGCAGTGGGCCCAGTACCGAACCCTGGGGGACACCTGAGTAACTGGTGTACGGGAGACTTCTAGTCTGGCCAACCTGAACGTACTGTTCTCTATCAGAGAGGTAATCCACCAGCCAACAGAGTGCCGTGTCGCAGATGCCAAGTTCGAACAGATCTTGCACAAGAGTTTGATGTTTCACTTTACCGAATGCCTTTGACATATCAACAAAGGCTACACCTGTGTTGAGTTTGTTCATGCGGGCCTCACAGATACCTTACACAGCTACCACTAGTGCGTCGGATGTAGAGTGGTGGGATCTGTAGCCGAATTGAGTTGGCGGGAATAAATTGCTCTGGACTAGATATCGTGTGAGTTGCTCGTGGACTATCCTTTCCAACACTTTGGATGCAATCGATAACAAGGACACTGGTCGATGATTCTTTGGCATGCTCGGATCTCCGCCTTTGAAGAGTGGTGATATCCTAGCACTTTTCATCTGGGCAGGAAATATGCCCTCTCTCAGGGACTTGTTAAAGATCAAAGTCAGGGATGGCGCCAGTACGTCTGCATGTGCGTGGAGAAGGGCTGCAGAAATGTCATCATCACCGCTGGACTTGGCCGGATTTAAACGTTCGAGGAGCTTCCTCACTCTGGCAATAGACACTGGCGCAAAGGCTGTCAGATCAGTGCTTGAGGCGGGCCCGTAGGGAAATGAGAGATGCACTGGGCGGCTGGCGTCCTCTACTATCTCTGCAAAGGTGTTTCGGATGGCATCAACAGAACATTGAGGTGGCTGAGATTGTCGATGTTTACCACTCAATTCTTTGATCGTGTGCCATGTCTGTTTGGTATTGCCAGACGCAGCTCGATCAGAGTAGCGCAGTGCATTTAGCGGTGATCAGAGTAGCGCAGTGCATTTAGCGGTGATCAGAGTAGCGAGGTGCATTTAGCGGTGATCAGAGTAGAGCGGTGCATTTAGCGGTGATCAGAGTAGCACGGTGCATTTAGCGGTGATCAGAGTAGTGCTGTGCATTTAGCGGTGATCAGAGTAGCGCGGTGCATTTAGCGGTGATCAGAGTAGCGAGGTGCATTTAGCGGTGATCAGAGTAGAGCGGTGCATTTAGCGGTGATCAGAGTAGCGCGGTGCATTTAGTGGTGATCAGAGTAGCGAGGTACATTTAGCGGTGATCAGAGTAGCGCTGTGCATTTAGGGTGCAAAAACTTGTTTTACGTGGTCGTAGGTCACCGAGCATCACTGCACCATTAAAAATCCACAAGCTTCCATGATATTATTGTTGACCTGCTCCACGCGAAATTGCGATACATACGTTTCGACCTGCCTCGCCATGGAAATGAATCAGAAATGATTCATCAGAGCAGCGGTAATCAGAGTAGCGCGGTACATTTAGCGGTGATCAGAGTAGCGCTGTGCATTTAGCGGTAATCAGAGTAGCGCTGTGCATTTAGCGGTGATCAGAGTAGCGCAGTGCATTTAGCGGTGATCAGAGTAGCGCAGTGCATTTAGCGGTGATCAGAGTAGCGCTGTGCATTTAGCGATGATCAGAGTAGAGCGGTGCATTTAGCGGTGATCAGAGTAGCGCAGTGCATTTAGCGGTGATCAGAGTAGAGCGGTGCATTTAGCGGTGATCAGAGTAGCGCAG